CCCATGTACATGAATTACAATCTAAAAATGATATTAGAGCAGTGTGATATTTTGATAAGTTCGTTCACAGTAAGTGATCTCTCTCATATGTCTTATCGGTGCCATCCGTGGCCAGTGCAGCACCCCCCTTAATGTTTGGGGTTATCTAGGTCAGGAGTGCAGTGGGATCTCTCAAGTATCGTAAATGAAAAAAACAAACAAACACACACACACACACACACACACACACACACACACACACGAAAAGACATAAGGTTTCTTTCAAGACACTGGTATGTATTGCTTGAAGCAAGTCTTATTTCTTACAAAGTGACCTCCTACAAATATGCTTTGTGAAGGCACAAGATCCTCACAAGATGAACCAAACTTTTCAGGGGACCCTCAATGCGTTGTGTCACAAAGGAAGCCTTCATCTAAAGTAACAAAGACTTTTGTAAAAAAAAAGCCTGATACAATTTAACCCATAACTAGGCAAAAGTAACCAACCCTCTTTAGAACGTAATACCTGAAGCCTAAGGGAAAATGCCACTGCTGACAAGGAAGAGAATCCCAGCGCCTAGTTTCTATATCGGCGTGGACGGCTTGACAAAAGTGGAAGATTATCGGCCCAGTAAGTGACTGCTTCCTATCAGATGCAGTCACTGTTCAGCTGTGCCACTGTATACAGGCAGCCATGGGTGCTGAACACATAGCCGGCAGTGAGGATTCCTTCAGTCATACCATTTAGCATGCAAAGGCAAGGATAACAGCCTAGCAACTCTATTGATAGATGGAACAGAAACGTTTTTAAAAAGTCCTGTAAAGAAAAGTAGCAGTTTAGGCCAGGTTCACACTTGCGCAATCTGTGACCGTGCAGCAATTGTGCACGAAACCCCATTTATTGCCAAGCGGATAGGGAGCCCCACACCACCGCTGATCGCACTGGCGGTGCCATTCTTTTATAATGGCACCCCAGTCAAGCCCAGGCGATCGCCGCGATTCCGCCCCTGCAATCAAACACGAATCAAAAAAAAAAAGCCACGCGTCGTGTGTTGCAAAAGAAGTACATGTACCTTTTTTCAGCAATTGCCATGCGGGTGTCACCCCATTGAATCAATGGGGCCGCTGTGCACACAATCGCGCGGTCCCTTGGCGCATGTCCCGGATCGCCCAGGTCTGCACCAGCCCTGAGAAACATGGAGCCGCTCTACCCAACTAGTGTATATTGAGTAAAAATGGTTTTCATTTTATTTAACAGATTGGACATGGATTAAATTCAAGCGACTGACTGAGGCCTTTTTTTTTTTTAAATAATGAAAATCACTGCTGTACAAGGACGTGCGGTGAGGTCAGTGGCAGCTGAGACACTCCCTGGTCCAGTCACCAAGCTATGTGGGAAGGAGGAATGAGCTTTCCCTGTTCCTCACTTGCTTGTCACTGATAAGGCATCTAGATAGATGCCGTGTTTTTTTTTTTCAGGCAACCAATACTAGTATCAGTATCGGTGTCGATACCCAGGTATTTGGGCGAGTACTCGGCCAAATGCTCCGATACCTGAACTTCCGGTCAGAGGGATAATTCATCTGATCGGCAGTGCCGCGAGGAAACATGGAGTTGGCCAATCAGGAAGCCAGGCGGTGCGTAAAGATTTGCCATCCAGCTTCCTGATTGGCCAGGAAGCCGGCTCGATGCTGACTGGCTGGGAAGGTGGCTTCCCGGTCAATCAGCATGGAGCTGACCAAACAGCATGGAGCCGGCTTCCTGGGCAATGGCACGTCGCCTGGCTTCCTGATTGCCCGGGAAACCAGCTCCATGCTAGCGGAAGTACCGGTATTGGCGAGTAACGACATATAAATATCGGTACTCATACTCGATACCGAAAAAACTGTATCGGTGCATCCCTAGTCCGAACCATCCATATAGCTCAAGCCCCTGACTCCAAGTCAGAGGCTTGTTGTAGCTCTGACCTTACGGTTTTAGGTCACGCACAGCAGCGGGGAAGCCCGCTGCTGTGTAACCTAACATAGTTGTCAAAAGCCGGATGAAGCGCCGCCTGTAATTAACGTCCATGACAAGTTACACAGCAGGGTGGCTTTCCCCACTGTTTAACATGTTAGAACCCAGCCTGAACAAATGGAGAAAAACCCATTAGCTTCAGACTTTAAGCTAACAGCTTTTTCTTCCATAACGGCAGGTAATACTCTGCCTCACTAGTCTCCCCAGACTGCATGCCCCTGCTACTTTAGTAAATGATAATTAACAAGTCTTTGGGGTTCATCTACCTGCCAGAGGAGACGAATCCCATAGAAGTCTATGATTTTGTAATGCGTCTGCTCAGCCAGGAGAGAGAGAAAGGACTTGCTGCGTGGGAAGTAAATAAATAATGGAGGCCGGGCACTCGGATCTTGGTAAGTACAGGTGAAACTCGAATAATTAGAATATCGTGCAAAAGTAATTGCAGTAAGTGCTGCAAAAGGGGCCCAAACCAAGTACTGAGTACATATGCATGCTTATACTTTTCAGAGGTCCGATATTGTTCTATGTACAATCCTTGTTTTATTGATTGCATGTAATATTCAAATTTTCTGAGGTTGTGGATTTGGGGTTTTCATGAGCTGTAAGCCATAATTATGACAAATCACGGCTTGAATCATCTTGCTTTGCATGTAATGAGTCTATCTATGCATAATCATATATTATGTTTCACCTTTTAAGTTGCATTAGTGAAATAAATTAACTTTGCACGATATTCTAATTATTCGAGTTTCACCTGTATACATCTGTTGAAGTGAAGGGTGGGATCAGTTAGTTCAGGGCAAAGGGAAAAAATGATAAGTGCATTTATTCTTTGGGCATGATGGTAAGGGGAAAGACTGCGTGTCCCCTTTTCTTGGTGCCCCAAGCATATGTTTATTTTGATTAATCCAGCCCTGGTCCTCCCTAATACATGCTGGTACAGATGCCGCATCAATAAATAAAAGACACATGAAAGAGCAACTGATGGGTGAACAGTTGGGGCTTGTCCACACTAAAATGCTCAGTTTTAGCATGCAGGTTAATGTTCTGAATGCGGTCCAGGGGGGTGACAGCAGTGCAATGTGCTCTTTCACTGCATCACACATCCTTTCAACTTAATTTGGAGTGTACATTGCATTCAGGTCTCCACACAGCAAAGCAGTGTACTGAGGTATGGTGACATGCATTGGGATCCAGCTCACTGTGAATAAATACGCGAGGGGAATTTATCAAAACTGGAGCAGACAGAATCTGGAGCAGCTGTGCATGGCAATCAATCAGCTTCGATCTTGAATTTTCACAGCTTAACTGAACAGACTCAAGAGAGCAGCTGATTGGCTGCCATAGGCAACTGCTCCAGATTCTTCTGCTCCAGTTTTGATAAACTCCCCCCCAGCATCACTCTCCTGCACATGGGAACATAAAACAATTGTTTTCCATGTGCCCCAGCGATGGCTGACATTGATCAGTTGCTGAAAAACGCCAGTCAGTGCTTATAGTGCGAATGAGACCTTAGAAAAGAACACACTGTCAGTTGTTGTTTCAGATCTGTCCCGACACATGACCAAAAAGTACCAACAGCTGTGCAGTATGAGAGGCCACTTAAACAGTCCATGTCAAGCCAGGAAGACACCGCTCTGCCATATTATTCTGCTCACCTGACAGGTGTGGGGCATTGTTCTGCCTCTAGGAGCACACCTTATGTATCATTATATGTGGCAGAGTGTCCCCACATTCACTACACCAGAAGTCACTTACATGAAGCCAGCCCCGCCGGTCACCAGCAGCCTCTTGCTGAAGCCTCCGGGCGGCTCGCCGTCTTCACTCATGGCGTTTCCTTCCCTCTCTACCACTTACATGGCACTCAGCACCCCCCACCACAATACACAGCCCAGACTAGTCACCACATCACAGCAGCCTCGCTTTACGGCTCTACCTGACGACGTACACGTCGCTATGTTTCGCTTTTGCCACCAGGCTCCTCCCACTGACGCCAGCTGATTGGACAGGTCTCGTGACGCGCTGACGCCTTCCCCGTCCCCCTGCAGATGTGGCGGCTGGAGTTGCACATGTCACCGGGAAGCGGATAGGAGGGAGATGCTGGCCGGGCTGCTGGTGGCGGGGCTGTGGCTGCTCCACACGGCGTACGCTAAGACCGTGCATGGCAGCTTCGACAGCGCCCTGGCCTGGCATAGCCGAGGGCAGCACATCTTCACCTTCTTGTTCCATGGTGGGTACGGTATGGCATTGCATATATGCGAGTGATAATTAATAGCATCCCATAGAGGGGCTGGGCCTAGTGCATGCCACTTATATTTTACAGCTTGTTTCCTCATCACTGCTCTTCATATTAGAGCTCATGTCCACACAGAAGTACAATGTGCTGAGGTCAGATCTGTCATTTATATAGATGTCATTGCAGCAGTATTGTATGCTATGGGCCCCATCTACACTGATCTATATTGGCCCCTGAAACGAGAACAATCTGTCTTCATGGCCTGATTTACACTGCATTTTACACTGTACACATATAAATGCTTGTATGTGTACAGTGTAAATGGGCCCTGTGGGCCACTGCTGCTCCTCAGGGCCAATATGTAAATATTAAGCCGGGTATACACGTTTATATTTATTCAACCTGAGGCCTGAATGAAGTAAATATAACAGATTCCTCCATCCACGCTTACGAGTGTTGATAGAGGAATCCCCCCGTTTATGTTGTATTCTGACTGTGGCAGCTGGCTGCTGTGGGAGTACCCGCACAGAGCTAGCAGCTGATTGGCTGTGAGCTCCATTCGGCCGAGAATTTTCCAATTGCCTTCTCCAGTCGGCTGATAGAGGAATGCTGGGCGAAAGGGTGCTGACAGCCGAACTCACTGTGCGAATTTCAGCAAGTTCTTCAAGAAATTTGTACCCTGCTTTAGAGTGCGTCTGCCTTTCCATGGTGATTGGATTAAGACTAGGGTAGGCGAGCTTGGCCCTCCAGCTGTTGTGGAACTACAAGTCCCATGAGGCATTGCAAGACTCTGACAGCCCCAGGCATGACTTGGAAAGGCATGATGGTATTTGTAGTTTCAGAACAACTGGAGTACTGAGGTTACCTAACGCTGGATTAGGATTAGTGATGGGCTTGGGCGTGTTCGCAAGCGCCAAGTGACGAGCCCGCCGGGAAGCTGTCAGCGCGCAGTAGTTTCAGAACAACTGGAGTACTGAGGTTACCTAACGCTGGATTAGGATTAGTGATGGGCTTGGGCGGGTTCGCAAGCGCCAAGTGACGAGCCCGCCGGGAAGCTGTCAGCGCGCAGGGCCAATCACAGGCACTGAGGCATTTCCCGATCTCTGCAGCTGCGGACCGGGAACATGTCTCAGTGCCTGTGATTAGCCCTGCGCGCTGACGGCTTCCTGGCGGGCTCGGCACGAGGCGCTTGCGAACACGCCCGAGCCCATCACTAATTAGGATGTCTGTGCAGATAAAAATGCTGCAGGATTTTCCTGACACTCAGAACTAATGAAGATAAGCTACGGAACATCTTCAACATTACAGATCAGCCCCGCAAGGGCTAGAACTTCTCCTAATTGGGGAACCAGTAGCATAACCCCTGACTAATGCACCCTCTATCTATTTCTGTGTCCCTGCGATGTACCCCTTGACATTTGAATTGTCCCGCCCAGCCATGGTAGACTCCGACTACAGGTACAATCGCTAGGGATGGTAGAGCAATATCTCTTTTCTTTTACCGTATTTGCCGGCGTATAAGTCGACCCCCAATTTTTTTAGTTTAAAAAATAGGTTTTGGGCTATACTCGCCGTATGAGACTACCCCCCTTCTGAGGCCACACCATTTAAAAACATCAGATTTGATTTACGGTAAATAATTTTAATTAAAATGGTTATGACTTACCGGTGCTTAAAATCCTTCAAAATCCTGATCATGGTCATCCTCTGACATCATAAGTTCATCAATGACATCTTGTGCTACATTTGTAGTTGTATAAAATTCAAATGTACGTATATCAGCCTTCAAATGTTGTATACAGTATACAGCATGCTGTATATTAGCTTGGATAACGGAATGTGTAGACCAGGCCGCTGTATGTGCGGTAATACTGGCAGTACAGAACTACTTCGGAAATGCAATGCTAGTTGTGTAACATTCAAATGTACCGTATATCAGCCTTCCATATTGTATACAGTATTCTGTATATTAGCTTGAATAACTGGATTTTTATCTTCGTCCAGGCCGCTGTATGTGTGGTAATACTGTACAGTAGCTTCGGCTACATACAGTATACCCCGCTGAGCCAATCATGGCGAGCGATCTATACAGGCAATCCGAGCAGGCTTTGTATAGAATGCTCGCCGTGATTGGCTTAGCGGGGTATACTGTATGTAGCCGTTGCCGGCGTATAAGACGACCCCCGGTTTTCGGGCGATGTTTTTAGGTCTCAAAACCCGTCTTATACGCTGGCAAATACGGTACTTTATGTATTGACAACCACTTTTTGTTATTATGTTGTTTGTTTAAATTGGTACATACTGCTGACAGAGTTGGTCATCTCTTTTGACTTCCCTTGGACAATCTATTAATCCAACCTTATTCTCATGAATAATTGATCTGTATGTACCTCTATTGTACTACTAGGATTGTTCTTATTGTGTATACTTTGACATTTCAATAAAAATGACACGCACAAAAAAACATTACAGCTCAAGTCCAGTTGAACGAGAAGAACTACTACTAGCTATAGCATGACTTGGATAAATGAGAACCTTCACATACAGAATCGATAAGCCAGCCATGGATGTCTAGCAGTATTCTGCTCCCATCACCAAAGACATGAATTTGAATGGTTAGGGAAACCTCTTTAGTGTTCAGATCATTCTGATATATAATTCTTTTTCTAGGCCAAAGCTTTGTTTAGACTTCCCAAACCTATTCTAGATTCTCATGTGCTTTACAATGACCCTTTCACATTTGTATGCATGTATAGTGTTCAGTATTGCATGCTATTAGGCTGCATTCACACCTCTGTTTATAGACAAATGTTTTTGTTTTTTTTATTAAAATCAATAGAAATGCATGAAAATGTTCCTTGGTGTGCATTGTATTGCACTTCTTGTATGGCAAACACAAGCTGATGTGTTTTTTGCATTTCCATGACTTTAGTGGAAACATTTGCATTAAAAACATACGGTACACGCTAATGCAACTTCTAGGTTGCCTTTTCTTCTGATGAAAAGTGGAGGAGGAAATGTTACCTGTCATTAAATCACATCAAATACATGGGATTTCATCACAACCAAAGGAAAAACATCCGATGACATCACTGGTAGTAAAAAGTTTATTAAGACTCTACCAGCGCCATTCAGTCCCGTCCACGGTCTGCCCCTCTCTGATGAATTTCACTACGAGTTGCTGGACATCAGCTGTATGTGATGGCATAAATATACTTCCTTCTGTTCCGCCCCCTTCTCTACGACTAAGACCGTTTTTGTGAAACACATCGGAGAGGGGTGGAACAGCTTAAAAGAGCTATAGCCAAACCTTTTTTTTTTTTACTATAGTTCTCATTTGGGGCACAGGAGGACACTAATGTCCTCCTGTAACCCAAAGCCAGCATATAGTGGGTTTCTGCCTGCTATAAGCCAACACTGCAGAGCTGCGTTTCAGCTGGGAAAGATCCCAACAATATTAGATCCACCCCACCAGCTGATTGACAGCTGACTCCACCTCTCTAGAGACTGCTGTGCATACCCCGTCTCCTTTATGTCCCTCCAATGAGTGCTGGAGGAAAAGAGAAAGGTTGGGGGGGAATTCCTGCGGTGACTGACGATCACTGTGTGTGGTCAGCAGTTTGTGATTGCTCAGTTCTCCAGCTTGTGACAGCTGCAGTGTCCTACATCGGCTCTAAGTATTAGTATGAGAACATTTTACTTTCCCAATAGTTCTGCTTTAATGGTAGTCTCAATACATGTTTTTAGTACTAGTGACGTAATCAGTGTCTGCCAAATTGTTTTGTTTGGTTGTGGTGCATGGGAACGTAGATGTGCTTCGCTGGCAAGCACCCGTGTGTCCCTATTTCTGCAGCTGTAATGGAGCAGTGCACAACTACAAGTTCCTTATAGATGCACCATTTTATGTTGTTCATCCTTTTCCTATTGGCCTTTTTAATGCAAATTACAATTTTAAAAAAATGTTTAAAACTTTGGCTCCATGTAGGGTCTTCCTCGTAAAGACCAGTCACTACTGCTCTCTCTCCTTGTGCAGCATGGCTGGTCTTGTATCCACCCCCACTTGTAGTGGGTGGTCCTTCTGGGCTCCTCCCACAGCTCCACACTGCTCAGGCTATGTACAGAACAGTGATGATGTCACTGCTACTTTTATATGAGTTGGCAAAGGCATTTGGTGTGCTTAAAGTGGAATGATATGCTTTGTAGCTATTGAGGAGTATATTTGAAGTAAAGTGTTTGTGCACAGAGTTCAGCTTTTTAATGTAATGAATTGGATGAGGTAATGGCGGTATCATTAGGAATATAACTGTCACCCCCATGGAGCGCCTTACCTTTAGTCTCTTTATTTACAAATTGCAAGAAATGTGAGTAGGCTGCCATTATCTGCAGCATATTGTGATGCGGTGAAGTGCATTGCAATACATGATACATATGGTGAAATCGTATTCGGTACACACCACTGCATACAGTGTGAATGGGCTATGAAGCAGGGGTGAGCAACTCCAGGCTTCCAACTGTGCTTTAACTACAAATCCCAACATGCCTCTGGGAGTCATACCTATAATCAGTCTTGTAGTGCCTAATGGGACTTGTAGTTCCACCACAGCTGAAGTGGCGGAGTTGCCCACCCATGTTCTAAAGATGTGCTCACTCCCATCACATTATCCTGGATTTTGCTATACAGGCAAAGGTATGGGTAATGCAGAAAGCAAAGCTTTGAGATGGAGCACATTTTCATATGTATGTTGCATTTCAGCACATTGTGAAAAAATCCAGTGTGTAATAACATGGAACTATGGTATTCAGCCACATACTGTAAGACGGTTGCTCTGCTCAGGTACCAATAGTAGATGAACAGGATCCTTTCAAAATGCAATACATTGATAACATGACTTGTATGATGTTGTGCTCATTATTGTGCGATTTGTATCCTGTGTACTACTGCCTTGTCACTGCCTGGCCTTACACCCACTATCTTCAGGCTCCTGAGAATGTCAAACAATATCACCTTACCCCCAGAAAGTAAACAACGTGATGCTATAGTGTAGAGCCCCATTCAGATAGTGGTAATCCCACAACATTTTTTAAGTATCTCGATATTTATAACAATATTCTGGCTAGCAGGTTGTGGGTGGTTTAATGCATTTTACAAATGTTTTTTGTTGTCTGTATTTGTTCTTTTTCAGGAGAGCAAGCTGTGTTACGTGTTCGCATTAGCAATGTTGCAGCTGCAGTTGGAAAAGATGCTACACTGCATCTGTATCAAGATGAAGAATGGTTGAGGATGCACGGGAGTATGGAAGAGTACAGCTGTCCTGAGAGATTGGCTTTGGCACAAGTAACAAGTAAGTGTTCATCTCTGCACCACATACAGTACAACAACCAGCCGGCAGTGATCAGGCTACAATTAGACAATTGGACTGGGTGGAATTTAGAATTCTCAATTTGCTTTACCGGGATTTCAGACAAAATACAGGACCCCGAAGGTTTCAAACACAGCTTCTCTCCACCAAAGCAGAGCAATCATCTACTTTGGATTGGGATGCTCCATATATTTTAACTTTCCAGTGTATTTCGTGCTATAAATGCCCTAGGAGGTTGTTTTGGTTTTTTAAATCATAAAATGGGGCATCACAATGGAATATCTAGAAAGCATCTATGTATGTGTGTATTGAATATTTACTACAAACAATGCTGACATCTACCTTTTAGTTGCTTCCTGCAGATCCTCTTGTAATGTAAATTAAAGAGCACATTGTTTAAGTGAGTGTATACATTGTGACCCCCCCACCCCCTGATTTAGCAGTGAAATGGGGGGGGGGGGGG